ACTGAGTCAAAGTAGCCAGAGCATGACTTGATATCTTTTGTTGAGATTCAGAAGTAGTCTTTTGAACAGGCTACTACAGGAAACTCATCATGTACTGCCATCCTGTTCCCACTCTGTGTCATGCACAACAGACATTTGTTCTTCAGGATGCTTCATAACAGAGAGATCATTGAACACTCACTTCCCTCATCTCTCTCTCTCTCCACTGAAGAAACTGGGAGGTGGGGGTGTTTTGATAATATTGCCATTGTGTGTCAGGGGGTTTGAGCAGGTATCATTGGCAGATATAAGCAACTCTTTGTCCCTCTTTGATGGGACTTTTACTCATTGTACCTATCTTGAGCTTTCTTTGAATCCTTCACGTGCATTTGGAGTACTCAAAAATGTCATTTGTCCTATACTTGCTGGTAATTTCGAAGTGCACTCATCTGATTGTCAAAATTAAGAATTTGTTTTTTTTTTCCCAGCTATTGCATCTGAAGATAACCAGGGCTTTTTGCTAAAGCCCACACTTCAATATTTATCCTCTGAAATTATACTGGTAAGATATAAAAGGTGTGCTTTTGATAATGTACACTTAATGAAAGCCTTGGAATTTGAGGAAGAATGTGATGAGAAAGAGGGGATGTAAATATAAACCGAACTAACCTGGCACGGTTATTCATAATACAATTCTTGTGAACTAAAGAAGTCAAATGTACTATGCATTTGAGAAACTTCCCACTTAAAACTCAGTTACATTGGCAGATCAGTTTGTTTCTGCACCTGATGGTTGAAAACAAGTTTTTACTGTTGTGTGTCCTTAGAAAGGAAATCTGGAAAACTAGGAGCTAACACAGTCTTTGCTGTGAATAATGATTAGAATTGTTTAAAATGTAGGGTGGGATTAAACTTTCAGTCATTCATTTCTAAAATTTAGATATTTATAATGTTCCTATAAAAGTAAAATCTCCTCAATTTGTCAGTCTTATTACTTTTAAATATATATATTTTGATTTCTGAGAGGAAGGGAGAGGGAGAAAGAGAAACATCAATAAAGAGATGCAGTGCTAGCTGGCTTGGTTCAGTGGATAGAGCGTGGGCCTGCAGATTGAGGAGTCCCTGGTTTGATTCCGGCCAAGGGCACATACCTGGTTGCAGGCTTGATACCCAGTAGGGGGCGTGCAGGAGGCATCCAATCGATGATTCTCTCTCATCATTGATGTTTATATCTCTCCTCTCTTCCTCTCTGAAATCAATTAAGAAATATATTTTTAAAAAGTAATGATAATGAGATACAGCCCTAACTGGTTTGGCTCAGTGGATAGAGTGTTGGACTGTGGACTGGAGGGTCTCAGGTTTCATTCCAGTCACTTGCATATGCCTGGGTTGTGTGCTCAATCCCCAGTAGGGTATGTGCAGGAGGCAGCCGATCAATGATTCTCTCTCATCGCTGATGTTTCTATTTCTCCCTCACCGTTCCTCTCTAAAATCAATAAAAATATAATTTAAAAAAAAAGAGAGAGACAATCATTGATTGGCTACCTCCGGCATGCCTCTATTGGGACCTAGCCTGAAACCCGGGCATGTGCCCTAGTGGGGAAACGAACCATGATCTCCTATTTCATACCTCAATGCTCAACCACTGAGCCCCGCCAGCTAGGCAATTTGGCAATCTTTTAAACAAGGATTCATTATTTGTCCCCAAACAATTTTATTTTTATGTTTTGTCTATAATTTCAATACATTGGGAACACTTTTTTGTACAACTTTCATGGGTTATTGAAAGCACAAAATGATTCTTGTACAAGTTTCTTATAGCTGTCACTAAAGGACTTTCTATCTCCCATTACCAGCAGAATAAATATAATGAAAACACAAGTTACCAATGGAACGAACATTGGAAAAACTTTAAGCAACAGTCATCTCTTTATAATCAACCGAGAATTGAGCTTTCAGAGGACCATTATAAAAGTGGAAAAGTCTTTGACCAAATGTCCTATCAGACTATAGGCCAGGTTTTTCATATTGTGGAGAAGACACACAAGGGATATAGACTTGTCGAATCTTTTCAGGAATCTTTAAATAACACTGAACAAAAGAATATTCATGCTGATGAGCAAGCTTACACAGGTAATTCATGTGATGGAATCTTCAGTCAAGTACTCAATCTAAATAGACTGAAATGTAGAGAATGTGGCAAAGCCTTCCGTGTTATAGCATTACTTACTTATCATCAGAGAGTTCACACTGGAGAGAAACCTTATAAATGTGGAGAATGTGGCAAAGCCTTTAGCCAGTCCTCAACCCTTACCTATCATCGGAGAGTTCACACTGGAGAGAAGCCTTATAAATGTACAGAATGTGGCAAAACCTTTACCAGCTTCTCAAACATTACTAAGCACCTGAGAGTTCACAGTGGAGAGAAGCCTTACAAATGTAGAGAATGTGGCAAAGCCTTTAGCCAGTCCTCATCCCTTATTAATCATCAGAGAGTTCACACTGGAGAGAAGCCTTACACATGTAGAGAATGTGGCAAAGCCTTTAGCCAGTCCTCATCCCTTATTAAGCATCAGAGTGTTCACGCTGCAGAGAAACCTTGTACCAGGTAAATGTGGAAAATGTGGCAAATCCTTTGGCAGCTGCTCAGGCCTTACTAAGTATCAGAGAGTTCATTCTGGAGAGAAGCCTTATAGATGTAGAAAATATAACAGCCTTTCATCAGTTTTCCTGACTTACTGCACAGCAGAGTTCATACCTGAGAGAAGACTTACAGATGTGAAGAGTGTCATAAGTCCTTTACC